TATATATATACACCACTTATACCATTTATAAAGCAGGTAAAAACAGCACAAGGCAAACCAAAGTGCTTTATAATGAAACAAATACATAGAGGACACAGGATAAAATGCATAGATCAATAGAAGTAAAAGAGAAAAAAAAACAGTTGGAATGCCCAGAGTAATAATACACAGGTTCAAAACCAAGTCACTCTGAGTTGAAGGCCAGGGAATAATAATAATAATAATAATAATAATAATAATAATGTGTTTTTAAACAAGACTTAAAAACTGAAAGAAGGTGAGATTGCCTGACTAGAACTGGTAGATCGTTCCACAGTTTTGGACCTAGAAAAGAAAAGGATCCATCAGCTCAGAGTCAGACTGGTGGAGCCGTTAACAGCGACTGATCTGCTGGTCTACAAAGTGCTGTGGGACATGTGGAGTAGACCAGAGACGTAGAATGGGTGTATAACCACCAGGTAACCCATATCTGCAGCAGAGTGCTCAAATGCAATCGGTTTTGTTTTCCTCACCTGATAGGGATTGTTGGTTTCTTCCTCCCAAAGTCTGTTTCAAAAATAAATCCCTCCAAGGCGATAAAGACAAACTGAGCAAAGGTGACAATGTTGCCACATCCTGGAAACTCTCTGAAAGACAAAAACACACATAGGTGAACAATTAGCTTGAATAAAAAGGCATATTATTAAATTAAAAAGGCTAAAAAAAGGTCAAACAACTAGATTAAAAGCTCTCACTGCAAACTATAAAACTAAACATGAACTTTAACAAATGGTGCAGTTTAAATAGTTTACTTCAGGAATTTTCCACATTATTATGAAATGCGGGTATGCACTCAACAGTGCATTAAATCAGCTACATTATTAGTAAGAATACTTATTAGCATGAAAGCACGCAGACACAGCAACAGCCTAACTTTGTCACCGACCTTACAAGCAGCTCCAGAAACACCACATTACTGCAACAGCCGGCAAAGACCAGCAGGACAGCAAACACAGTCCCCATGATGGCTGACAGGCGAACAACCTCCTCACTTATTAAGGCAAAGAGCCGAGAGGCGCATTTTTAACAAAAGAAACTGATGTCTGTGTTTCAAAGGAAGTCGTTTCTCTCAACAAACTCCTGTTTTAACCGAACACGTCTGAATCTTCTCTCTTCCTGTTCACCGAGCTCATGGGAGTTGTAGTTCGCTTAAAACCCGGCTTTAATGTAGCCTTGACGTTTCATGGTGAGGCCCAGCAATATTGTTAAAATATAATATGAACCAAGAAACTGTTCGGAGACTTTAGTTTTACCGTAAAAAGCGAAAAACAGTGAACAAATTAGCTAAAACGCGCGATTTGCTACGCCTTTACGAAGAACGTACACGTCCAAATTTACGTCAGCACGTACGTAGATGTTGAAAAGTACGAAGAGCAGTTTACCTGTCGAAGGTTTCTTCGTCCTAAAAGTAACAGCTTTATGTAAAACGGCCACTGGAATATTAAAATAAGGATTCTGACTTTAATCTCAGAATTATGACAAAAAAGTCAGAATTCTGAGATTAAAGTCAGATTTTTTAGTGGCCTCTTCCGTAAATGCAATTTATTTCCCCCCACTTTTGAATTAAACATATTAAAGCACCACTCAGTAATACAAAACAGCAATAATGAATGCAATAGACATATTTTTTTTTGCCAGGAAATCATTGCAAAAATCGAACTTTGCAAGTTTTTTAATCTTTTTTTTTAGTTTCTACACTTTTACATGATAAAATTAGTTTACTTTAGCTAAAGTAATTTTAGTTTAGAATATAAGTAATTTCAGCATGTACAAAAAGTTATCTACACACAAACAGAAGAACTCTAAAACCCACAAAGAGTGAAACGGCGACCTCTGTTATAGACGATCTTTGTAGGCTTTCGTGGCCGCTGTTGACGTGCTGACGTAACGAACCGCTAGCTTTGCCTCCGCCGGTGCCACGGCTGTCGTCGTAGCATCACTAAACTTAAGCCTATCATCTTGTATGGTAGAAAATTTGAGCGTTTACGACCTTTGTGTGTGTTGCTATATTTTCTAGGAGCGAGTAAAAATGATTTCACTCACGGATTCACAAAGTAAGAGACATTTCTGTTTCATCGCTTCTCCTTTTTTAAAGTGTCTAACCGCGTTCAGCTAAATCTATGAGGCTAACAGCGCAAACACGATTGGCTGAGAGCAAGTGACGTCACTATGGAGAAAATATTTTCCCTTTAATCAGTTGTAAGATCTCAAATGAAAGAGAACGGCTAATTTCCCATCAGTATTTTAATCTCTTGTCTTTTTTCAGTAATAAGTTTTATTGTTTCCTTCTATTTCTGGCAATTTCTTTAAAAGTTAAAATAATCATAATTCGTTTGTTTCTTAATCCCTTCAGAAATTGGGATGGGGTTGACAGGGTTTGGTGTGTTTTTCCTCTTCTTTGGGATGATGCTATTTTTTGATAAAGCTCTGCTGGCCATAGGAAATGTAAGTTGATCCAACAGTTGTGTCAGAGTTTTAAGGTCCAAGCCCTGAAAAGTTTGAAGAACCACTGACGTTTGATGTTTCTGTGCAGGTCCTGTTCGTGTCCGGCCTGTCCTTCGTCATTGGCCTGGAGCGCACCTTCAGGTTCTTCTTCCAGAGGCACAAAGCGAAAGCCACCGGCTTCTTCCTGGGAGGAGTCTTTGTGGTTTTGATCGGCTGGCCGATCGTTGGGGTTGTTCTGGAGATCTATGGTTTCTTTCTTTTATTCAGGTCAGCTCAAACGGACTGCCTCGTTTTTACTTCGGCTGTGTTCACACCGCAGCCAAAAGTGACTCAAATCATATCAGACTTGTCTGAATGTGACAAGTCGTTTGTTTGTTTGTTTATTTATTTTTCTCTCAAATCCAGCCCATGTGATTTTATAGTGTGGTATGAAATTAGATACGTATTTAATGTTTTTCAAAGCAGCAGGAATCTGACTGGTCGGATCAGTCCATATATTGACATCTTGCAGCTTAAAAACTCCATGTCTTCAGCTACAGAACAGAAGTCCAGTTGCTTTTGTCTTTTCCAACTTTCTACATTTGTCATATCCTGTGGACGACAGAATTTACACCAACAAATTGATTGTATCAATACTAACATGATGTAATCAATTCATGAGTTTGTTTTCTCCTCTACTTTCTTTACATCGCTGCCAATCCAGAAGTGCAGTTCTGCACCTGAGTAGGCAGGAAGCAGCAAGATCAACAAACATTAGACAAAACAAACAGCTTCAGAGTCAATACACACATGCTAGCATGTAGCCTCTGTGTTTATCTAAGTTTCTGTTTTCATCACAGTTTAATATAACCATATTTTACCTCTTTTCCTTCAGACACGTGGCCGTTTAGTGCAATGACTTATGGTTTAGTGGTTAAATCCCTAGATAACACATTGATTTAATTTGCCTGCTACATCACAGGACCTGCAGTGTGGTTATTTACACACACGCACATTGGGCCTCATGCAAGAACCGTTCGTACGCACAGATTTGTTCTTAAGTTGTGCGTACGAGTGATTTAGGAGAATTTGTGGCATTCACCAATGTTTTCACTCAAAAAGATTTTTTTCAGATACGAACAAAGTTCAGGAGTGGTCCAGACCTGTCGTATG